ATGGGGTTTTTGCTATGCAGAAATTAATAATCAGTTAATAAATGATCTTAGTTTATCTTAGCGCCCGTGCTAATGGTGTTCTGCTCAGAAAGTTGTCTCCTGTGCCAGTGTGTTCAGGGCTGTTCCCCACTTTTCTTGTATCAGGTTTAGTGTAGCTGTTTTTATGTGGATGTCTTTGGTCCTTACGGAGTTGAGTTTTATGCAGGGTGATAAGATGGATCTGTTTGGATTCAGATGTCCGCTTTGTGAAGCAGACATCTGCTTTGATCAACACCACTTGTTAAAGGTGCTGGCTTTTATCCAGTGTGTATACTTGGCTTTTTTTTTTTTTTTTTTTAAGCAGAAACTGGGTATTCATAGATGAGTGAATTTATTTCTGGGTCTTCAATTTAATTCCATTGATCTCTGTTTTTGTGTTAATGCCATATTGGGTTTATCATAACGCTGTAGCACAGCACTCTCTAAAGGTCTGGGGACAGCCAGTGTCTTCAAATCCAGGATTACCCACCTGAGCAGAGCTCTGGCTCACCAGGTGCCATACATGTAGACCAAAGGTTATCTTAAGAGCCGCTTGTTGTCTTTACCTCCTCAATGCAAAGCTAAATTTTGTCGTCGCAAACTCAGAACTGTCCTGTAATGACAGCGTGCTGGGTTTCCGGCTGTTGCCCCAGGAAAACCCTTAGCTGTGTCATTACGTAGCTCATGTGCTTGTTGTATGGAGGCCAGGCTCCTCCAGTTTCATAGGCCAGTTTGCCATGTCTCTTCCACACTTACAAAGAAAAAAAAATGCAGCCACGCTTTTGCACTGTATGCCATGTGCTCAAGCCTGCTCTTCCCTCTAAGTAGAAAGTTCTGAAAAGAAACTTGGGAGTGGTGAGCAGTACCAAGATTCCACCCTTGTCCGTCCATCAACCTTGTTTGATAGTGTTTGTTGATTTGTGTGTCAGGCATTGTGCAAGATTCTGGAAATAAAACTGTCAGATCAAGGCCCTGTCTCATAGGCATGGAGACAGTTATTCCATCCTTGAGTTGATACATAGAAATTATACAGAAATCTGTGTGGTACTGTGGGATATTTTGATAAATGCATACATTGTAGAAAAGCTTTAGCAAATATTTTAACAGTTCAATTGTAGTGTTATAAGTGCCATTTTAAGAGTCCTGTGAATAGTTTGCCTATGAATATTGTTGTACAGTCTTGTAAAGCAGGTGGCATTAATATTGTCATTACGCAGAGGGAGAACTTGAAACTAGGAAGTCTCCTAGGTTTATACAGCTGGTAAGTATCAGGTTAAAATGCGTATCTCTGACTATAAACCTTTTGATCTCTGTAGTGAGAGGGAAGAAATGCAGGTCCCTACTATGCACATACTCTACTCCTGAGCTACACCCTTAGTCCCAACTCTCTTCTTTCTTTTTCCATTTAAAAAGCACTTATTATTTGTACTTTCTGTCCACTCAAAACACTCTTCCATATAAACGCTCTTCCAAGAGTGTTTTACCTGCATGTGTGTATATGTATCATGTAATGCCAAGGAAACCAGAAGACTTGAATTCCTTGAAACCAGAGTCACAGATAGTTTGAGTTGATGGAGCTGAACCCAGGTCCTTCGCAGGAATGACTCTTAACCACTGTACCATCTTTCTAGTCCCTCCTCCTCCTCTATATTTATTTTCAGTTGTGTGTGTTTGTACATATGTGTCTAGGTGTGTGCAGTATAGCGAGTGTCATTGCTGGCTGAACTGGAGCTACACTAAAGGATGTCACCCGGCCAGTGACGTGGGTGCTGGGAACAAAAATCCCTTAGCTGCTGAACCATCCCTTCAGCCCACCCAGCTGCCCTTCTAACAGTGCCCTCCTCTGACACAGAGGACCATGAGCTCGCCTGTCATTTACCATTAATTCTATTCTGTCATGTATTTGATCTTTTTAAAAAATTCAATAAAACTGTACTCTCATTTTTCCATTAAATTTTAAATTGCGTTTTAATTAGTTAATTTACTTGTGTGTGTGTGTGCACATATGCGCATGTGTGTGTGCATGTGTGTGTTTGTGTTGTGTACACGTGCAAATGTGTCTAGGCATGCATGTGGGGATTGGAGGACAGCTCGTAGGAGCAGTTCTCTACTTCATCTGAGAATTTTAGCAACAATAAGAACAAATACAAAATACACTTTTTTTAATGTGCTCGTGGTCATTTGTAGCCATCTCAGGGAAATAGTTCTGGGTCACGGGATGTCTGGTGTGTAAGGTAAACATCAGCTTTAGAACTGATGAATGGCTGCATTCTTGGGCCAGCAGCCTGGGCAAAGGTGGTCCTGTGGCTGAGGAGGGAGGGAGCACCTGCAGAGGACCTACAAACGAGGGCACGGGAGTTCTTGTCAGCAGCGCCCATGTTAAAAATGAGTGCAAAAGCATGGTTCTTCAGTCTCTGTCCCAGTGAAAAAGGTAGAGACAGGTGGATCCTGGAGCTCAGTGGCCATCCAGTCTAGCAGAATCAGTGAGCTCCAGGCTTAAGGAGAGACTCTGCCTCAGAAAACCAGACAGCGAGCAACTGAGGAAGAGAGCCTGTGCTGATCCTCGACAGCCATAGGCATTCATGCAGATGTGCACACCGCACCACAATACACACACTCACACACAAACATTTTTACCTGATAGAACAAGCTTCCTTCTAATTGTATTTACTTTTTAAAACTAATACCATTGTGTGGTATTTCAGAGATCATTTTCATAAATAGTATCATAGTTCATCTATTCTCAGATTTTACCAACAGACCACTCTGATAGGTAGAGTTTGTTTACCAATAAACCATATTATGAGGAAAATGGTTTAGAGCAGTGGTTCTTAACCTTCCTTATTCTGTGACCCTTTAATACAGTTCATGTTGTGACCTCCGACCATAAAATTATTTCATTGCTACTTTATAAGTGTAGTTTTACTGTTGTTAAGAATCATAATGTAAATATTATATACAGAAAATTTAATATGTAATAGAGTCTTGACCCACAGGTTGAGAACTGCTGGTTTAGAAGGTGCTTCCAGAAGAAAAGCTTCAGATGACAAATTTTATGTGTAAAAAAGTGACATTAATTTCCATGTAAATATTTATCTATCTATCTATCTATCTATCTATCTATCTATCTATCTATCTATCTATGTATTTATGGTTTTTCAAGGCAGAGTTTTCTGTATGACCTTGGCTGTCATGGACTCTCTTTATTGACCAGGCTGGCCTCACAGAGATCTGCTTGCCTCTGCCTTCCCAGTGCTGGGATTAAAGGTGTGTACCACCACGCCTGGCTCATGTAAAATTTTTAATTTTTGATAGTGCCACATAATGCTTTAAGAAACTTGTTATTACAACAATGAAGGTTCCAAAAGTGATGGTGTTTAATAAGATGTCTCGTATGCCTGGCTAACGCAGGAGAAAAAGTCCGTGAGGACAACAAAGCTGGGGCTGGAGAGGTGGTTCACCATTTAAGAGCACTGGCTGTTCTTCCAGAGGACCTAGGTTTGATTCCCAGCACCTATGTCTCACAACTGTCTGTAACTCCAGGTCCAAGGGATCTGATTTGCCCTTTTCTGGCCTCCACATACATATGGCATATAGTATGCATGCATATGCATGCAAAAGTAAGTTAAAAAACTTTTAAATAAAAACAACAAAGCTAACAGGTATGGAGTACTGCAGATAGTGTGGGGCTAATTTCCATGTCAGCAATCAAGATAAAAGTTGCTTGGAGAAAGGGGAGCATTTGGATTGAACTGAGAAATAAGGAATTGTCTTTCTAATAGATGAAAGCACTCTGGATTTGGCGAGGTTGGTTTTGGCATATCATCTGAGTGTGACCCTTGGTGAGGTCATACACCCTTCCACCTGCTGCATCTTCTGGACAACCCGCTAGCCAAGAACAATTTTCTTAGCTTAATTTTTTGGAGTTTGTTTATCAAAAATGATAAGTGGTTGTCCCATGGCAGACTATACAGAGGTGTTGATGGAGAATTGTTGTTTGTACTCAATAAATTGATATTCATGCAGTTTATACTACTGAAAATTGGCACATGAGAATTGATGAGACCGAGAACAAATAAATACCGAGTGGGTTGTTTGCAAGGAGGAACACTTCCTCAGCGCTCAGGAAATGGAGGGAGAAAACAAGATCTGTGTGTGGGTGTGTTTGAGGAGCATCCATCAGAAGCTCCTGCCGCACAGCCATCAGTGGAAGCCTCGAGTAGCGAGGACATCATCCTCCAGCTCAGGCTGGCCTTGCTGTTGATGTTCTGGACTTTGAGAAGAACCCTTCTCAGGCTTTAAGAGGGTGTAAGCTGCCCCCCAGTCCTGCAGAACTTCTGCTAACCCATGCAAGGCAGGCTGGTTGTAGTCAGGTCCCGCTTCCTGTCCTAGCTTCATTCTTTGCTGGAGTTTACCTATTCTCTGCCTGAAAAAGCCAACTTCATGGAGCTGGAGAGACAGCTCCGCTATTAAGAGCACTGGCTGCTCCTCCAGAGGAACAGAAGTTCAATTCCCAACACCCACATGGCAGCTTACACTTGTCTTTCACTCCAGTTCCACTCTCACACAGACATACCTGCCGGCAAAACACCAATGCACATAAAAAAAAGTAAACGTTGAAAAATATAGCTCCACAGTTGCCCTCAAGCAACCTGCCCCAAACACTCTTGGCAGGAGCTAGCATTGTCCCTTTCTCATCCTCCTAGACCCCATTCAAGCATCACTTCCTTGTAAACATTTTGTATTCCCAGACCCCATCCCAAGGCCAATGAGATCCTAAGTCTTCTCAGATGTCTAAGCTGAACAGTTGCAGCTTCTTTCCTGGCCTGCGCAGGGTCTTCTGCGGGGCATGCGTGGAGTGGGTGGACACTGGACTGCGCAATCTGCTCCCTCACAGCTGTGTATGAAGTGAAGTGGACTTTTTTAGTCAACTGTTCCTTTTTGATGCACAAAAAGTATTGGTATTTCTCTTTTTATTCTAGGTGGTTCTGGAATGGAGCCGTGACCAATACCATGTTTTGTTTGATTCCTACAGAGACAACATTGCTGGGAAATCCTTTCAGAATCGGTAAGAATCTGCAACATTCCAACTCAACACTCGGATGGTGCTAAGCACTCATTTATCTATGTAGACTTTTTAGTAGAGGTGTGCCTTTGTTCTGAGAACTTCAGTTCATATATTTCAGAATATATACAGCCGCCTTAAGAAACCTTCCAGTTCATTCTATTTTGTAGGTAAAAAATCTTGATGTCCAAGAAATAATCTTGCCTTGCAGCGTTGAGCAGACTAGTTTGCAAGGACTCACTTTGTGTCTCCAGTTCTGGAGGTACAGGATATGGAAGCTAGGTAGCCACCACACAGCCACGTGGGACATTGGCCAGCTTAATACCACCCTGTCAGCCAAGGCATGCCCATAGTAACTGCCAGGCTGGACCTTGCACTTTCACCATCACAACTTGCTGCCTTTGTGAGGTACCAGTCACGTCAATGTCTGGGTCTTTCTCTGTTTAGGCCAAGCTTACTGGTGGAATGCTTATTCTTACACTGGGAGATTTTACCACCTCATAAGCCAGGTGTCAGAAGCAATTTTTACCCCATTTCTCCAATATCCTACTTCCCTCCCTATGGACAAAATGAATCACATAGGTCGTGTGTGTGTGTGTGTGTCTGTCTGTCTGTGTGTGTGTGTTTGGTCTAGGAAACTATTACTTATTTTAAATATTTATTTATATTTTTTAATTGTGTGTTTGCATGTGGCTATGTGCAATTTTGTGTAGGTACCCATAGAAACCGGAAGAGGGCATCAGATTCTCCCAGACTGGAGTTTCAGGCGGTTGTGAGCTGCCTGATGTAGGTGCTGGGAAGTGAACCCAGGTCTTCTACAAGAGCAGTAAGTGCTCTTAATCCCTGAGCCAACGCTCCAGCCCAAGCATTCACTTCTTGCTTTGTCTTTAGCATGCACTAAGTATGAGTGACATCCCTTCCTCAAAGACAAACTCCTTCAGCCTTACCTTCTAGACATGGAGATGTATGTGTCTGCTGTAACTGCAGTAGGGGAGAGAGCATGTAATCAGAATAAGGAAAAGACACCCAGGCTTCCAAAGACCTTCAGGGGCTCAGTGAAATAGAAGATTTCCTGTAACAAATGCTTGTGTGTTACTTTCTTTTTAAAAACAATATGCATTAGTGAATGGTATAAAAGCAGTAGTGTGTAAAATTGTTCACACTCTAATATTTTACCACTGCATTGTTTAAAGGGAACAAGCTAGCTGTATTTATAAATGCTCATGATGAAGCAGAACCATTGTTAGCCTGATTATATGCTGACCCGTGAGTGAGTATCTTTTTAATATCCTAGATTAGCTGTTCTCAACCTGGGACTCGAAGACCCCTTTGGGGGTTGAATATCAGATATCCTGCATATCAGATATTTATAATATTATTCATAACAGTAGAAAATTACAGTTATGACATAGCAATGAGAATAATTTTATGGTTGGGTCACCACCACAGGGGACTGACCTAAAGGGTCTTGGCATTAGGGGTTGAGAACCACTGCTCTAGGTGATGTTCACATTATCTGCACGTTGATTGCTTAAGTAAAAGCAACTGAGTCACAAGACCATCTTTTTCACGGTAAGTCTTGTACTTTGTAGAGCAAACAGTGTGATTATTCAGACTATATATTTTTTTTGTCAATGAACAAGGCAATCTTGTCATTTTAAAGAAAGCAAATAATAGTATTTGTTAGTACTGATAACATTTGTGTTTTCAGGTTTATAGAATTCGCTTCCAACATGAAGACATTAACAGCTTTATAATTTTTTTGTGATTAGGTTCAGTCTCATCTCCAAAATCACACTTGTTAATATTATGTAAGATTAATAAAATGTGTCACCATTTGGCAGATCTGTATGGCTCATTAAAGCTGTTGGTTCCCAGTGTGTGATGTTACAGAACCTTGCATTCAGGATTCAGGAGGTGTTCAAAGAACAGGAAAGGGCAGTGCGTTTCAGTGTGTTCAGATTCTACGCTATGGCTGATTTTGATTTTAGTGTCAGAGAAGAATATAAACTATTGTCTGAAAAAGCTATTAAAAGATGCCCCTCCCATATCTGTGTGCTCCGGAGTTTTCTCCAAAAACCTTTCTTTTTGAATGGATAACCAGAGCGTCATATGTAGACAGATTGAAACCAGAAGTTATAAGATGCTAGCCAGCTTGCTTCTGTTATGCCAAACAGAAATTTTCAGAAATCATAGTGACACCTCTCTCTAGATTTAGGGGTTGTTGCCTAGAAAATACAGCTTCTGGGTTTCAGAGATAGAGTCGTCGGTAAAGCACTTGCACATAAGCTCAAGAACCCAAAAGTGACCCTAGAACCCAGGCCAGTATAGTCAGGAGTCTTGTAATCCCTGTGCTGGGGAGGAGACAGGGAGCTTGCTGAGAAGCTCTAGGACAGTGAGACACCTGACCCTGGCTATCTTCTGGCCTGTGTGCACACTCCCCTCCACACATTCACAAGAAGATAATAGTTGCATTGTTTGGTCTTGGGGCTTAAGCTCTTGTGCTGGCAGAGCAGTGATTTTATCTGTTGGCCCAAGAAACTTGTGGTTTTCATGACCAAAGCTAACGACATTAACGTGTGAGGAAGCCCATTGCTTTAAGATGTCTTATTTTATTGCAAACGTGGAAAGCACGAATAAGCATAACCTACAAGCCCAAGCCAGTGGACTCTTGTAAAGCTGAGAAACATTGCCTAGCTGCAGTGGTTCTAAACTTTGTGTGCAGTGAAGGGTGTGAGCAAAGAGTCGTTCCTTCCCACTGCAGAGTTTCCGAGTCTGCAGGTGTTAGAATGTCTCTGAGAACCGAGTTTCTAACCAGTTTCCTGAGGCTGCATGTTGGGTGGCCACCACCTCATGAAAGGGTTCATCTGAAAGCCTGACTTTCAAGCTTCCCTAACTTGCCCTTCAACAACAGTCGACCCCCCCCCCCCCCCAAAAAAAAAGCTCAAAATTGTTTCTCCCCAACTGAAACATTTCTGGAACACCTACTGTGTACCTTACAGCGATGCACAGATCATTAAGTCTCTGCTCTGAAGAAATGCTAGACTTTTAAAAAAGCTAACTTTTTAGAGATACGGATATTTGAATTCAGTAAATGAAAAAAATAATTATTTGTCCTTATTTTTAATTATGTGTGTATGTGGTGGGGGTGTGTGTATGTGAATACAGTGCCCGAAGAGGCCAAAAGAGGGCGTTGGATTCCCTGGAGCTGGAATTACAGGCAGGTCTGAGGCATCCAACGTGGGTGCTGGGTGTCAAATCCAGGTCCTCCATGAGAGCAGTGTATGCACTAGGCTTCTGAGCCCAAGCTCAGTGGTTTTCATCAAACACTCTTGTGTCCTTTCTAAAGAATTCTTTGTTTTTTATCAAACAGTCTCTCATTACATAGCCCTGCCTGGCCTGGAACTTGCTGTGTAGACCAAGCTAGCCCTGAAACTCACAGAGAGTTGCCTCTCCTACCTCCTGAGTGTAGGGATTGAAGACAGTGCACCACCAAACCCAGCTCTCTAAAGAATTTTTTTATCTTGGTTATTTATTTATTATCTATCTCTCTATTTACCTACTTTTGAAACAGGTCTCAATATGTAACCCAGTCTGGCTTCACATTCAGGATCCCGCCTCAGCCTCTCAGTGCTGGGATTGCAGGCTAAAATCTGTTGTGAATAATGTTTCTGCGATTGTGCAGGTAGCACTGAGTACTGTAATGTTTACTGAAAGCCTCCATTGTTTTGCTAGTTTTTGAACTTTGTTTTTGTTGTTTTGCTTTTTCAAGACAGGGTTTCTCTGAAACTTGCTGTGTAGACCAAATTGGCCCAGAACTCAGAGATCCGCCTGCCTCTGCCTCCCAAGTTCTGGGATTAAACGCAGGCACCACCAGTGCCTTACTGTGGTACAATTTTTATTCGTGCTGTTTGCTCTGAATGAAAAGGAAATCCCAGTCTGTATGTTAGCAGCCAGCAAATATGTAAATCATCCACTGTGACTGATTTTAAGGCAGCCATTCCTTCTAGGCCTCTATTTCATCATGTGTAAAACACGAGTATTAAGTTGTGTGTCAATCCCAACTATTTAAGTTTGCTTTTTTTTTTTTTTTTTTTTTTCTTTCTGCTGTAGAACTAAAGGTCTGCCAAGTGACTTTAGGAGTTACGTTTAAATAGTGATTTGAGTACAAGTTGTATCACACACATATTTGTCACCATCTCTTCTATTCTGAGTCAGGTTTCCTTCTCATGTGGAAACCAAGGTCATGATCTGGTGGTTATAGCTAAAGGCTCAGACTCATCTCTGCCATGCCTGATAGAGAAACAGCCAACTCATGGCCATGAGCTGATCATCTGATCTCTTTCAGGGTTTCAGTTTAACCCATGAGTTAAACTGGACATGCAATAGCAGGCTCATTTGAGGAGCCAATGTATAAATGACTCACAAACTTGAGTTGTTTTTTTTTTTTCAGCTGATTTAATAGAATCTCTTGATTCTACTAAAAACCATTAAGAATGACTTTGCCAGGAAAACTTCAGAATATGCATATTCTTTTCACCCTTTCCACCTTTCCATTGAAAAGTGTATTGACTCAAGCAGGGTTTTTTCTCTTTCTTTTCTTCTTCTTCTTCTTCCTCTCTCTCTCTCTCTCTCTCTCACACCACACATACAACTTTAGTGTATAAAGACTTGACATGCAAACCTAACGACTTGTGTGAAAGCCAACACCTCAGGGTTGCTCTGTGCCCTCACTGCCACAAAACAACAAGCGCCCCAGACAAACACAAGACACCCACCACACACATCACAGTAAAAACCATTTAGGAGGTTGGGAGTTGGAGTGACCTTGAATAAGTTGTATGTGGGTATACCGCATGAGATTATATTCATCAGAAACACACATACATGCCGAAGAAATTATATTTCCTGGGGCTAAAGAGATAGCTCAGTGGTTAAGAAGACCACTAATGGTTCTTCCAGAAGTCTGGGATTTGACTTCTAGCACCCAAGTGGCAACACACAATTGTGTGTAACTTTGGTTCCAGGGTCTCCAACACACTTTTCTGGCTTATGCAGGGACCAGGGCACAGAGAGGGTACACAGACATACATGCAGGCAAAACCCGTATACTAATAATAATAATTACTGTTATTTTAGTGAAATTACAGTTATCTAACTAATATATATGAGCCTCTCGTACGAGGGGCTATTCTAGACTCTAGGAGAATAGTGATGAACAAGAAGAGTTCATTAATCTTACCTATCTGACTGGCTGTGTAGTAGGGGAAGATGAAGCTCATAGAACTCAGCTGACCGCAGCTGACCTCAGAGCACAGCCCCCCCAGATCAGTGGTGGCAGCAGCATTAGCTGAGGTCTTAGAAGAGCGTTCAGAGGCCCCACCTGAGACCAGTGCAGTTAGAACCTGAAGGACAGAGAGCAGCAGCCTGCTTGTAAGGCCTCCATGCAACTGCCAGTTGCTGTGTGATACCCCAGGCGCTGGCTGTCTCATGAAAGACGCACGTGCCAAAGTAAAAAGTAGCAAGAATCCCTTCAAGTATAAAGTGCCAAGGAAGGTGCCTGTTGTGAGTGAATTCTGTTCCAAGAGAATGGGGCTGAAGAGGGAGCGTGGACAGAGGAAGGAAGATGTGGCTACAGGTGGCATGAGAGAAGGGCTGCAAAGCAGCCTGGGAGTTTTTACGCGTACAGGGTGAGTGAGGGCAGGCAGCCGCCATGTCCCGGTAGTGATTGTGAAGCCTTGCCTGTGCTGGGGCCCGTGATGGTTGCTCACCACTGGGCGATCCCATGTATGCATCCTTGGTTTCCTGGGACCCCTGTTATCTCTCTGATCTCTGTTTCTAGGTACATTCTTCCATTTGCTTGGTCTTCCCTAGTTTCTTGGAAAAGCCAGATATGTGTGTGTCTCAGGGAACATGAAAATACCTTTTCCTGGCGTATTTCTTCCTCCAGCTTCCAAACTGGCTCATTTCTTCACTTTAGGCTTTTTTATACAGTGCCATATTCTTGCACTTTATCCCAGTGCTGAGGTTGGAGCCGTAGGCCTCATGCATACTGAGAAAACACTCTACCACTGGGCTACATTCCCGGTAAGGCCATCCCTGACACCCCTGTCTAAAAACGGTCCTTACATAGATAGGTTTTCTAAATTTTCTCATTTTCTCTGTGACATTTAACATCTCTGACTTTATATCTATTTAGTTTATCTCCTGTTTTCACTTATCTAGAATATAAGCATCACATGGTTTGGGGTTGGGGGGGAGCAGCGTCTTGGCATAACCTAGATTGACTCAAGATCATCCTTTCTTGAGCCTCTTAAGAGTTTTGGAATTACAGGTATGTGCCACCTAAGGAAAAGGTGCTTAAATTGTCACTTTGACTAATTTATTTTCCGACGAAGTAATTAATCCTTGATGAAAAAAATATAGTTGCAGCCAGAAGCCTAATCCTGTGCCCAGGTGCAAGAAGGACAAAAGGACTGTGTATTTCCTTGTAGCTGTGACCCACACACCTTCCAAAGAGGAGCTTAAGGAAGAAAAGATTGATTTATTTATTTTGGCTGTTGCTTCATAGCAGGGAAGGCTGGGTGGTTGAGTGGCTTTGCAGGTGGGGCAGCTGTGCAACAGATAGGTGGATGAGGAAGCGGTGGCAGGAAAGCCAGCACTCAGCTAGTTATCTCCTTTCCTGAATTTTATTCACCCTGGTACCCACGCCAATGGGGATCGCCTCTGAATCTAATCAAGTTGATAATCAGGTTTAACTGTCAACAAAGCTTTGGAAGTTGGCCCTAAAACAAAGAAAAACTGTCCGTTTATTTGGAAAAGGGAAAGAACCATCTAAAATGTCAACACCCAAATAGACATGAAGTCTGTGTCATAGGTCGGAGTGGTGGTGGGGTTTGGTTTGGTTTGGTTTGGTTTGGTTTGGTAAGTGGATGAGCCAAAGGAGAAACATCATTTTGGTGGGAAGAAACTTGAACAGAAACACTAAGGCAAGGCTGGGCCTCCTTTTTTATTTTGTGGATGGTTTAAGAGCAGGAGCAGGGCGGGAGAAGTGCCATGCTGGTGCCTTAGCTGGTAGCTTTCGAGCAGACGCTGACCAACTCCATGCCGGCTGCTGTGCTGCCTAGCCACTTTGGGAAGCAAAGCAGGAAGGCCTTCTGCCTTCTTGAACACATGTAACTAATAGTCACTTAACATATGAGAAAGATGTCAAGGGTTCTGGAGCAAAGGAAAAGAGAAGGGCTGGACTTGGAACATCCATCTGGGCACAGAAGGCATTACTTAGGCCAAGACTTCCGCCTAGACCGTTTGGTAACTTCACTGTGTTTTACTCCTTAAGCTTTTGATGACCTTCCTATATTTGGCCACATTTGATCCTGCTGATCCTGCATTTGCAGAATATATGAGTGATTGTTTATCTAATCTCAGCTGAATTCTAAGACTACAGCCCCTATTTGAAACTCTGTTCTCAATTTTCTTGAAGCAAAACCTACCATGACACGAACATTAGCAGTTTAACCATTTGTAAAGTGTATGCCTGAGAGCAGCACACATGCATTCTCAGTGTTGAATGGCTCCCACACCAACTTGTTCTAGAACTTCTGTCACCTCAGACAAAACCCCACCTGATGATCTCTGTTTGTGCTCTAAGGACCTACTTGTGTCTCGTAGAGTCTCCTCACTGATCTTTTCTTTGTTATGTTACTGCTATTGTCATCAGCACTGTGTGTGTGCAGGATGGTGGCGGTGTCATGCCATGGTGCATGTATGGAGGTCAGAGGAGAACACGCAGGAGTTTAGTTCTAGTTACCCTTCCAGGGATCAAACCCAGGTCTGAGGTTTGTGTGGCAAGCACTTTGAGTTCACCAAGCCATCTGGATAGCCCCTCAAGTAACCTTTACAAAGGAGAGATACCAACCTCTTTACAGGGTGGTTGTGTGATCAAATGAAACAAATTCCATCAAGTTTCTAACATAATGCAGCTCACAGAGATGGTATTTGACAGACACCACTCTTCACCAGGGGCTCCAGGACAGCACACAGCTGTATCACACGTGCATGCTGTAGTCCTGTGGCCTTTTCGTTGATAATGTCTAAATTGAAGCTCTTTGTTGTTGTTGTTGTTTGGTTGGTGGTTGTTTTTTGTTTGAGATAGGTTCTCTGTGTGTAGCCTTGGCTGTCCTGCAGACATGTCCATGTAGACATGGCTGGCCTCAAACTCACAAAGTTCCATCTGCCTCTGCCTCCGACAATGCTGGGAATACAGGTGTGCATCACCGTGCTTGGCTCTGATTTTGGTTTTTTTAGACAGGATTTCTGTGTTGCCCTGGCTGTCCTAGAACTTACTCTGTAGACAGGCTAGCCTCGAACTCAGAGACCCACTTGCGTCTGCCTCCCAGGTGCTGGGATTAAAGGTGTGCTCCACTCTTAAATATAAGTTCTGCTAAAACCTTTCCCCCAAATGTTCTGAAAACCTACAATTAAGCCGGAGGACTTGTTGGTTTGCCCTAGGCTCTGTCTACCCATGCCAATCGATGTGGTTTACACCTGGGTGAATGGCACAGACCTTGAACTGCTGAAGGAACTGCAGCAGGTCCGGGAGCAGTTGGAGGAAGAGCAGAAAGCTATGAGGTAAATAAAAAGAAATCCGTGTGCGGGGGGCACACGTAGGTGTACATCAGGGATGGGCGAAGTGATCACCCAGAGCTGGCTCACCGCTCTCTCTCCCGCCTGTAAGATTTGCTCAGCGCCTCCCCTACCTATTTCTTTATAACACCACCAGTGCAGGCCTGCTGCACCTGTACTTGAAGATTTCCTGAAGGTATAAGACTAGCCACCACATAAAATGACTGCTGGCCTCCTTCCATGCTGCAGAAGGAAACTATCAGGAAAGCATTTTAGGTGAACTTTACTGATTGCAGTTGGAGGCTCAGGGTTACTGATAGTATTTCACTGGAGCATGGGATGTGTTTACATTTTCAGTGCCGTAAGCACTGTGACGCGCCCCACAGCCATATCAGATCGAGTGAAGGCACCAAGAAAGTCAGCATTGTAAAACTCCCTTGTTCACACTTGGGGCTCACACTCGCTGATGCCTGAGTAGCAAGTTGTATTTGCTCTTTATTAGGGAAATCCTTGGGAAGAACACAACGGAACCGACAAAGAAGAGGTAAGCATTTTGGTTTCTTCTCAGAGATAAAGCTTATGGATGTGAAGGGCCAAGATCATCACGTGCGGTCACACAGTGTCCTGTTTTGTCTTCAAGCTGCTGCTCATCTGCCGCCTTTGACAGCGCAGTTAAGTGCGTGCATCAGAGAACGTGTGGGGCTCAACAGTGTCCGGCCCAGGCACTCATGCTGTTTCTGCTCTAGCCAGCCCAGTCCTGCTTGTTTTTGGCAAGGCTTGCACTCTCATTTATCTGTCCTGATACATTGTTCTCTTGGCCTCTTAAACTAATTATACCCTGCGTTTTGACTATATAATTCTGCCCATCATTTATTTGTATATCTGTCATCTCACCTTATCTTTGGAAGCTGTCAGGTTGTGTACATTTGAGGACCTGGATGGGGATTCAGCCCAGTGACGAACCAGATGCACCTTTCTTGATTTCAATCACGCTTGGCTCTGATGATCCTTAAAATGGCTCTTGCTGACAAGCAGAAGCCTGTAACTGCTTCTTTCCCACTTAGGTTTTGAAAGAGGTTGTTTGTGGAGATGATCATGACTCATTCCTCAGCAGTCTTTTGACTTGTTTTTATTTTTTAAAACAAGGCCTAATACAGCCCAGGCTGGCCTTCACACTCACTCTGTGGTTGAGAAGAGCCTTAAACTCCTGCTTCTCCTGCCTCTTTCTCATGTGCTCAGATTGCAGGAGTGTGCAGATATACTCAGCTCACAACTGTCAGTCATAGTTCATGGCCTAATGTCTCCTGCCTTTTAATTCCTGTGTTGCTGCATTATTTTCATGCTTCATACCCCTCCATATATTGGACAGGTATGTTGTAACTATACGTGTGTGTGTTGTAGGGATATATGTGTCCCTAAAGAGCTCTGAAGCCAGATTTGTTTGAGAGTGACAGATTTATGGTGCTTGAATTAACCCTGAGTCATCATTTTTGAGGGGCCCTGATTGAGCCAACGGGACGACAGTTGCTTTCTTTTGCATTTCTGTTATGAGCTAAGAAGGTCGAACAGTTGGGTATATCATTGTACTAGCTGTGGTTCCCATCTGTGAACTCTGTAGCCATGCTGTGTGTGCATGCCTTATTCAGGTAGAAAGATCTTAGTGCTCACAGTGGACCTGTGTTACACTTACTGGTATTTGTATCATTGTAACGTCCTGTGTCGCTCATGTTGTTCTCATTGGATGGGTAAGTTGTACTTAGTAACATGACATTATTAGCCAGAATCCCCTTCCTAATATGCCAACAAGGGGCTTCAGTGGAATTCAAAGTACTAAAGTGCTTAATTTCTTTGTTTTGTTTATTTTTGTTTTTTGAGACAGGGTTTCTCTGGGGAGCCTTGGCTGTCCTGGACTCACTTTGTAGACCAGGCTGGCCTTAAACTCATAGAGATTCACCTGCCTCTGCTCCCTGAGTGCTGGGATTACAGGCGGGCACCACCACACCAGGTTGTTCTTAATTGCTTATGAATTTTTGAGTTAGTAAATTTTGGTGGCAAACTTAATTTGTCTTTTTTTCTTTTTCTTTTCTTTTCTTTCTTTTTTTTTTTTTTTTTTTTTTGAGACATTTTACTATGTATTCCAAAGGGGCCTAGAATTTATGATTGATCCTCTTGCCTCATCCTTCAAGTAGGGGACATCACACTTGATTGGTACTCTTGTGATTAATTTCAGAACTTTGAAAACTATTGTTAAAGTGTGTCTTGTTATTTTCATTCTATACTTATTAACAAAAAAAATTATATTCTTAAGATTAACTGATTTAGTAAGGTATGATAACTTTATATAGGCCATGGGCTTTTAAAAGCCCTCCTCATTTAATTGTGGCTACAAGCTTTCCTGTGTTTGAGGTGTTGTCTGTCTCTGCAGCGAGAAGCAGCTGGAGTGTCTGCTGACGCACTGCGTTAAGGTGCCCATGCTTGTCCTGGACCCACCCCTGCCAGCCAACAGTTCCCTGAAGGACCTGCCATCTCTTTATCCATCTTTTCACGCTGCAAGTGACATGTTCAATGTTGCAAAACCAAAAAATCCTTCTACTAATGTGTCAGTTGTTGTTTTTGACACTACTAAGGATGGTAAGATTTTTTCCTGTCTTTTTAAAAATTTACTTATTATTTTGTATATATGAGTGTTTTGTCTGTGTATATGTCTGTATATTCCATACTTGAAGGGCAGACAAGGGTATTAGATCCCCTGGAACTGGAGCTGTAGAGAACTGTGAGCTGCCATATTGGTTCTGGGAGTTGAACCCAGGTCCTCTGGAAGAACAGCCAGTATTCTTGTCTACTGAGTCATCTCTCTAGCCCCTGTGTATATTTTATTTTCATTATTTTTTGGAGGTTTCGTTGTTGGGGGCTTAGTCTCTATTATGTAGCCCTGGCCATCCTGGAACTCACTATGTAAACCAGACTGGCCTCGCCTAATTCTCAGATTCCCTAATTCAGTGATCTACCTGCCTCTGCCTCATGAGTGCTAATACTAAAAGTGTGAGCTACCATGCCCAGATTCCTGAGTGTTATTTTTAAACCATGTGGTCATTGATACTCAGAATAACAAAATTCTGAATGAAACAAATGTTCCCGTTTTTAAGAACTGTCTGATAAACTAAAAATGTCCAGAGAAAAGCCAAAGAACTATTATTTTATTGTACTGTAGCAGTCTGTCATCTCAGAAAAGGACTGCACAGCATTTCCTCCATCTCCAAGCAGACACATCATACTGTGTTCTTATTCTATGAGGACCTTTGATCTGGTGCTCAAATAGTACCTTCTCCTGGCTCAAAGTCGTTCTGGAGGCTGGTTTTTCTTAACCATGGAACATACCAGAGCATCTGTACTCTCTTTTCCTTCTGCTTCACACAGTGAAATCCAAACTTCTAAAGGGATAACCCAGGAGGTGGGGACTTTTGGGAGATGACCAGGGCATGAAGGCTGAGCCTTTGTGAGTAGAATTAACACCCTTTTACAATACAGACCCCAGACTCTAGCCCTTCCCCATGGGAGGTTAACAAGATGATACCTAACTGTAGTTGGGAAGAGGGTCCTTTCTAGAGCCCAGTTCAACTCTGCTGGACCCTGTTCTTGCCCTTCCTGCCTCCAGAACTGTAAGGCGTTCTGGCTGCTAAGCAGCTGCTGGAATTAGTTCCTGGCGTGAAGCTGCTGGTATCTGTAGTATATTTTCAATTGTATAGGAATTTATGTCATCCTGTGTAATTTATTGATGGAGACAAAACTTTGCCACATACCAGTTTCTATCATGAAGAATGCCATGATGCTATTCCTAGTCCTGTCATTATTTTTAGGTGGAAGGAAATTATCACCTTTCTGAATTCAAGCTTCTCCCCTTTCAAATGAGAGGTGTGGTTAGCACTCACCCAGCCCAACCTCACAGCCTGCTCCCAAGAGTCCAAAGCAAAATGGCTTTTTCAGTTACGCTCACATCCTTGAGTTACAAAAAGTGATGCCTTCTTGTGGCAGCTCATTTGCCTCTGGGATAAACTGGCTTTTAGATAAAACTACAAATGTTTTCCTCATATTTTTTTTTATACACAGATGAAATGTGTTTCTAGTGGGCATAGAGCAGGGATGTAATTCCTTCACCATGGGGTGTTCTTTTCACTTTTGATCTCTTAGTTCTTGGTTGTTCTCAGGATACATTTACAGTATGTTCACTATGGAAATAGCTTGGGGTGGAGTCCTTGCCTAGCATGGACCTTGTGTTTGGTCCTCGGCATTAAAAATACATTAAAATGTGTCAGCTGGACATGACCTTTGTATTTCTCGTGTCTCACTCTGCAGGGAAAGCAGACCTATTCACTTAACAGTGTTTTATTAAAGCAGATGAACAGATGGCTGCATTCTCTCCTGAATTGTCAAACAATTAACGCATAAGTAAATTATATATTTTGTAGAAAATAATGCTACAAAGAATAACTGAACGGGGCCAAGTGGGGAAGGAGAAGGCAGTCAGGGAAGGGGGTGAATCTAGATGGAGTGGTAGGGACAGGCTTTGTGAAGAAGATGACTTTAATGAGACATGAAGGTGGGGATGCCAGCAACAGAGGAGTGACTAAAGAATTATCAGGGAGTTGAACAGCCATTGCCAAGGCTATTCCTACAGCGGGAACGCAACTACTGTGTCTGTGGAGCAGGAGGCCTGTGTGGGCAAAAGAAGGTGACCAAGAGAAAGCAGGCCAAAGATGAGCATGGAGAATTGGGGTGGGACAGTAGCTACATTGAACCCAGAGTTTTTTACCCATAGTTCAATGGGTGACCACCAGAGCAACAGTCTAATTCATGTTTCATAAAACTAGGTTTGCTGTGTGTAGAGAGAATAAACTGAGAAGGGACAGTGGTCATAATCCAGGCAGGAACGAGTGTTCCTGAGAGCGGAGGAGTGAGGAGTATTTGGAGTCTGCCCATTTTGAAGGCCAGCCCACCTAGGTTTCTTGGCAAATATCTCTTGTGATGGTTGTTTGTGGAACTGGTTTGTGGCTGCCACTTACAGATTGAACCTTTGTAGGAGACTGTATATTGCTAGATCTGATGTGTCGAAGACAGAAGCCACAAATTTGGAGAGTTGTTAGTCTGTTATCTAGGATAAGAAATCCCACTGGGCTGTGGTAGCACAACACCTTTAATCCGAGCATTTGGGAGGCAGTGACAGGCAGATCTCTCTAAGTTCTGAGGCCAGCCTGGTCTACAGAATGAGTTCCAGGACAGCCAGGGCTACACAGAGAAACCCTGTCTCAAAAGAAAAAGAAAAATATTCCTGTCAGCTTCATCTATACATTTCACAAACACACTTCCCATTTCTTTCAAAACTTTGGTGTGGGGTTAATGGAGACAAGAACCGTGGCAAACCACTGAAGCATTTTTGCAGGTTAGCTATGGCTGCGTGGTACACATCCTTCAGTCAGATGGGTCAGTCACAAGCTGCCCTGCTGAGTTTTCAGCCTGTATGTCTCTTATAAACGTGAAGGTGGTGTGAGAAAGTTGTAAAGACTTTGCTGAGATTGTACATGCATGCATGTATTACCCAGAAGCACAAAGAAATGCTCAATGTCCTTAGTCATCAGGGAGATGCAAATCAAAATGACCCCGAGATTTCACCTTTCACCCATCAGAATGGCTGAGATCAAAAGCTAAGATCAAAAGCTAAGACCAAGTGACAACACATGCTGGAGAGGATGTGGAGAAAGTGGAACCTTACTCCATTGCTGGTGGGAGTGCAAACTTGTACAACTACTTTGGAAATCAACTTGGTGCTTTCTCAGAAAATCAGGAATAGTGTTACCTCAGGATCCAACCATACCACTCCTGGGTATATATCTGAAAGATGTGCCACCCTTCAACAAGGACATTTGCTCAGCTGTGTTCATAGCAGCTTTATTTGTAATAGCCAGAATCTGGAAACAACGTAGATGTCCCTCATCCGAAGAATGGATATGGAAATTGTGGTACATTTGCACAGTGGAATACTACTCAGTCATTAAGAACAAGGATATCATGAAATTTGTAGGCAAATGGATGGAACTAGAAAAGATCATCCTGAGTGAGGTAACCCAGAAACAGAAAGACACGTATGATATATACTCACTTACAAGTGGGTATTAGCCATATAACACAGGATAAACATGCCAAAATCTATAGTTCTAAAGAAGCTAAACAACAAGAAGGTCCGTAGGGAGGATGCTTAAATCTCACTTTGAAGGGCAAACAGGATAGACACCAGAAGCAGTGGAAGAGAGGAACCAGGATGGGAGCCTACCATAGATGTCCTCTGAAAGGCTCCACCCAACAGGGGATCAAAGCAGGTGCTGAGGCTCACAGCCAAACTTTGGGCAGAGAACAGGGAATCTTATGAAAGAAGCAGGGGGGTAGAAGAACCCGAAGGGAACAGGGGCTCCACAAGGAGACCAACAAAGCCAAACTATCTGGGTCCAGGGTATCCTGCAGAGACAGATGCACCAACCAAGTGCTCAGATGTAACCCACAGGCAGCTCAGTTTCCATGTGGGGTTCTGAGCAAGGGGAGTAGGAGTCTGACACAAACTCAGTTGCTGAGTTTTTTTTCTTTTTCTTTGATCACTTCCCCCTGCTGATGCGGCCTTCCCAGGCCACAGAGGAAGAGGACCCAGACAGTCCTGAAGAGACTAGATAGGCTAGGGTCAGATGGTAGGGGGGAAGGCAACCCCTTTCAGTGGACTAGAAGAGGGGGATAAAGGAGAAGAGGGAGGGTGGGATGGGGAAGAGATGAGGGATATAAAGCGAATAAATTGTAAAAGAAGAAAAAAAGAAAGTTGGGGTCACTCCTGCTGTCCAGCGTCGCTGCTTTTAGGGGCATGGCTGTCGGTGGTGATGACAGTGGTCTTGTGAGATCGGATACTGCTGAATGGCCCCAGCTGTTCTAGCATCCATGGTGTACAAGCTGGTATTGAGCCTGTGACAGTCGTCTGCATCAGCTCCCCGAGCGCTGAGCTTGTAGGAGTGAACTCCCACTCCTGGCCCAGTCCTTGTGGACAGTTTCAACACTTCCTTCACTGCAGCCTACCCAGGGCCTTGTGCATGCTCAGCTGGTGCTGTCCCCCTTATCTACAGCCCCGCCCCGCCACTGTTCTTATGGTGTGCTTGAGACTCTCATTCATGGTTGCTGTCCATCTCCCAGACTGTAACCCCGAGGACCTGCCTCATCCGTCCCTCTGGAAGATCCGAGTCAGAGCCCCCACCCTGAGATTTCCCGTTTTCATCCATACCGGATGTCAGCAGCATCTTCGCAGTGTCACCTGTGCCCTTTCCTTCATAGCCCTCTTGCAGCTGAGTGCCCACCAGCCCCCAACCCTGTTCCATAGCACCCAATGAAGCTAAGCCTTCCAGTGTGGGAAAGCTGCTGCTTAAGGCTGTGGCTGTCAGGCAGCTGCTCGCTTCTGTAAAAATCCCACTGCCTGTTGTTCAAGCTCCCTTCCCCAGGCTGGCTGCTCTTATTTGCTAGTTATGGTGTTCCTAGAGGATTGAGTCAAGCGATGCTTTTCTTTTTCTCATCCAGCTTTGCTCTTATCTCTGGGATTTTTCTGTCATCCCATCATGTCTTCCTTGCAGTCCGGCTTGCCTTCATTTATTCCCGCAGAGCACAGGCTATGCCTGTACAGCCTGCATAAGTCTCTGCAATGCAGAATTCAGTGTTTATTCATACGCTGCTTCCCATTGTGCCTTCTTTGGTGAATGTGATAATTTTACCTTCTCTAATCACTTTTTTGAAAGCATGTATTATGCTACTTTAATAGCTCCCCAAATGCTCTGTGCAGTGTTGTGCCGGGAGTATAGAAGTGTTTGTTAATCATGTGCTCGCCTCTTGTGTGTTGCAGTGGAAGATGCCCACGCCGGACTGTCCAAGGGCAGCAGCAAGCAGACAGTTTGGAGGGCGTATTTGGTATGTCACCTGAAGTCTGATTGTACTTCTGCACTGCACCCGAGCAAAAGTACGAGTGATAGCACTGTTTCCCTTAGCTGTTGCAGTGGAGTCCCAGCTGGCCTTGAACTTGCCATCTCCCTGCTTCCTGTTGGCATTGCAGTCCTGTGCCACCATGCTTTGCTCCTTAACCTTTTCTCTGAAGCATTGGTGCTAGTGAGTGTGCAGCTCTGGGGATATTCCTAATTTGATGCTCTGAGAGCACAGAGGAAGCACAGCAACTTCTGCTCTAAGTCTTCATCAGCGTCTTGATCCGGGGAGGTAAGCTGAGTCTTTTCCCTTTCTTTTAGACAACAGACAAAGAAGTCCCAGGCTTAGTGCTGATGCGAGACTTGGCATTCCTTAGCGGGTTCCCGCCGACATTCAAGGAGACAAGTCAGCTGAAGACAAAGCTGCCAGAAACTCTGTCTTCTAAGATAAAACTGGTAAGAACAGAAAAAGAGCCACGGGAACGGCACGCGGGCATCTCATCCCACATGTGACCCTTCTGTCGTGACCCACTGCGCACTTTTTTCAAAGTTTAACTGACAGTTATAAAAGGCAAAGATGTACTCTGTCCTGTCACAGTACGCTGTCAGAAAGGTAAATGTGTGCAGAAGGTCCTCATTGCTTACTCCGTTTTCCTTGACACTAGGTCTTATCCTACAGCCAGGTTGGTGTTGAGCTCACAGCAATCCTCCTGCCTCATCCTCTCAAGTTCTAGTATTACAGATTTGTGCCTTCAAACCCAACTCTGAAATTACTTTTTAAAAATAATTTGCTTATTCTTACAGTGTACATGTCTGTGTGTGTGTTTGTGCTTGTGTTGGGGAAAGTCATAAAAGTAGTAAGAGCTCTAACCTGCCTATTTGTGAAAGCTTTCATTCAGAAAGGGGCTATACTTCTGATATCTACAATGTTTGATAATATGAAATGTTGATTCAGGCATTGGTGTGTATTTCTTACCCTTCAGCTTGGACCCTTTTTTTTCTGAGGACTGACTTTGACTGGCTGGTGACTAGCCTTTTCTGAATCATTTGCCTGATAGACTGTGGACACAGCCATGGGAGTGTATTTTCTGTTTCTGGTTGACCTTATGTCATGCTATCATAACATTTCACGGAGTAAGCATCTTTCTCTTAGAGGAGAGGGCGTGGAGTCCTTACCCCTGGAGTTGTTGGCATCTGGCTCTTGAAACTCTGCCACTAGGTTTAGCTTGCTTGATTCCCACTTCCCCTATTTTTGCCATTTAACAGTTTGGGAGGGGACGGAGAAGGTGGGGTTAATGGAAAGGGAGTAAGGGGGTTCTTACTCAGTACTTGTATTAGTCACTCCATCCCAAAGTTCCCTTTAACTCACTTCTTTCTCCTCCTCTTTCACTGGATTTTACAGGCTAAGATGCTTTGTGTCATGTTTGTAAGAAAATGATGGTGTGAATGATGTCTAGTTTTTCTTTGTTTCATATCTTGCTAGCTTGCTTTCTGCGTTTGTTTCTCTTCTTCCTTCTGCCTCCTTCTCTTCTTCATTTTTGTTTGGGATAGGGCTTGCTATATAATTTGGCTGGCCTGCTATGTAGACTAGGCTGTCTTCAGACTTGTAAGCTTCCCGTCTCTACTTCCAGAGTATTGGGATTACAGAAATGACCGCTGTGCCCAGCTGTCACCCATAGTCTTCTTCATTGCACTTTGAGCTATGGTAGGCGTTCCAGAAGTGCATTCAGTTGCTATGCAGTACTTGTATGGAACGGAACAGTAATCAGCTATATTTGGGTTGAACTTGTGGTTAATCTGCAGTTGCTCTAAAATAGACAGAACATCTCCTTCTTCCCCTAAGGTGCTTTCAATACTGGTTTGAACAGTTAAAGCCATAGATCAGCTTTTGCTTCTTGCCTTTTTAGTTGCTAGTCTCAGACCTACAGACACATGTACATCTGTCCTTTTCACTGACATCTCCTTTATATGAGAAGAATGACTTCCTTCATTCTGTTTCTGTAAATCCACATTAGTAATAAATAAATAAATAAATAAATAAATAAAATAAAAATTTGAGGATGAAAGGTTTATTTTTATCCTACAGGTTATAATCCATCATGCATGAAAGTCAGGCCAAAAATGCAAGGCATATAGCTTGAGTCAGGAACAGAAGCAAAGGTAATAGAGGAATTGTGCTTGCTGGTCTCCATGACTTGTTCATCCTACTTTTTTTTTTTTCTCTTGATCTTTTTTTATTTTTTAATTTATTTTTTTGTTTATTAAAATTTATTCACTTTGTATCATGAAATTTGTAGGCAAATGGTGGGAACTAGAAAAGATCATCCAGAATGAAGTATCCCAGAAGCAGAAAGACACACATTATATACTCACTTATAAGTGGATACTAGACCTATAATATAGGATAAACATACTAAAATCTGTATACCTAAGGAAGCTAAGCAATAAGGAGGATCCTGGTAAGATACTCAATCCTCATTCAAAGGCAAACAGGATAGACATTGGAAGAGGGAGAAAACAGGAAATGGGACAGGAGCCTACCACAGAGGGCCTCTGAAGGACTCTACCCAGCTGAGTATCAAAGCAGATGCTGAGACTCATAGCCAAACTTTAGGCAGAGTGCAGGGAATCATATGAAAGAAGGGGGAGATAAAGGGACAGGAGCTCCACAAGGAGAGCAACAGAACCAAACAAAATCTGGACCCAGGGGTCTTTTCTGAGACTGATACTCCAACCAAGGACCATTCATAGAGATAACCTAGAACCCCTGCACAGGTGTAGCCTATGGCAGCTCAGTATCCAAGTGGGTTCCATAGTAAGGAGAACAGGGACTGTCTCTAACGTGAACTCAGTGTCTGGCTCTTTGATCACCTCCCCCTGAGCGGGGAACAGCCTTATCAGGCGACAGAGGAAGACAGAGTAGCCAGTTCTGATGAGACCGAATAGGCTAGGGTCAGATGGAAGGGGAGGAGGATCTCCCCTATAGGTGTACTTGGAGAGGGGAATGAGAGATGAGATGGAGGGAGGGTGGGATTGGGAGGGGATGAGGGAAGGGGCTATAGCTGGGATACAAAGTGAATAAATTAGTCAAAATTTTAAATGAAATTAGGAATTCATTCTGCTTTCCATCTTACACTCAAGTATGGATATTTCACATGCTGCTGCTCTCCCTGCTCCTCTATGCTAACAACCTTAGATGTGCCCGTGGGCGAGCAGTGTGTGCTGACAAAGACCACAGCGCCAAGTAGAGGCGGGCCTCTGCGGCTGTTCTTGGTAAGGTGTGCTGGTGACTGGAGGGGCAGCAGTTGAGTCTCTCCTTCAGATCTGTGTGTTGGGGGAGGGGCGGTCATTGTTCCTGTAAGCTTATGTTTATGGGTGTGAGTGCACTGGCGGCCAGCGCTTCACTCAGACATCGTCCTTGGTCACTCCCCCCCCCCCCCCCCCCCCCCCCCGAGGTTTGGTGTTGTTTGTTTGTTTTGCTTTGTTGTTGTTTTGGTTTTGAGCCAGAATCTCTCATTGAGTCTTTGGCCTCATCAGTTGGCCAGGCTGCCTGAACAATGAGCCCTAGGGAATCTGCCTATCTCCTTGCCCCCTTCCAAGTACTAGACTTGTAGGCATGCCCGGCTTGTACATGGGTTCTGGGGATCTGAACTGAGGTCCTCGGACCTTCATGGAGCCATTCCCAGCCCCCAGTTCTTCCGCTCTTCCCTGAGGCTCTGCTTTCTGGTTTCATTACGGGTCTTCTGAGAATGGGGTTTTCTTTCATAGGTTCCCAGGCCATCTAGATGATTTTTATCCAATAGCTCCTACATGCCAGGGACTATGTGAGGGAGAACCGAGGGTCTTAAAGCATTTACTTGGGACATGAACATTTGCAGGTAGGAGTATAAAGTGCCCAAGGACGCCTGGGCGCTTTGGGCGCATTAGGAGTTAGATGGGCTTTGCAGCTTAGCTGGGCCCTTAACAGAGCCACTGTTCTTAGATTGGGAAGAGAATGCAGAGAGAACAGCCTGAACAGAGGGCTGCAAGCTTGGAAGTGGATAGTGCATCTGAGGAGTTTCTAGAGCCTGGTTGCCACAGGGTTCCTGAGGGGTGGGCCTGGTGAGATCGGTAAGGCAAGATTGCTGGGCCTTATCCTGGAGGCAGGGAGGGCTGTGACCCGAAGACAATCTGGCAATCTTTCTAAAGCACAGAGTAGGGGCAGGCGTAGATGTTAGATAGGAAGAAGCTGGAGGCAAGAAAACTAGTTCAGTCCTGCAAAGATATTCCTGTCCAAGGACTTCCGGCCATGAATGCCAGTGATGGGAGTAGTTCCTGAAACATCTGAAAAATACCCAATAGCAAATGTCAACAAGCTGTTGGGGAGAAGGAAGATGGGAAGGGGAGGTGGGTGTGCACAGTGAAGGTCGAATTGATGACATGACCACACTGAACTACAGTGGGAGGAGCGAGTTCAGTGAGGAGTTTTGCAGGACAGGCATGTGCAGCGTGTAAGTGGGACGGCTGTAAGACAGTGGACCTCAGGACCTCAGCAGCTACCTCACGTCCTGCTTCTGAGCTCACCTGGAGGCTTTTGCTGAGGATTGTGGTCCAGGAGTAGCCGGGGAGGCCCCAGCTGTATCCAGCAGACATCACAGGCTGTATTTTAGGACATAGTCTTGTCTTAGAACGTCCTGTCTTAGAACATCGTCTCTGTACCTCCACACAAGGGCTGTGCACCACACTTGCTTGAAGGACGCTCACAGGATGCAGAGTCAGACCATGAGGGAAAGTTTGTCATGATGCGCTCGTAATGATGGGCACTGAACTGATTTGATGTGTGCATAAACCTTTGCCCTCATGTGTCCTGCTTAAAGGACAGCCTGCTTTCTGTTGCTCTAAGGAGAGGAGTGGGACCAGAAAGTGCTGTATTTGTAAGATAATGGATTTGAATTCCTACAAACTGTATTTCCATTCACTCCCCTCCCATATAACAAACAACCCTCTCTCAGGTTTTCTGTTTTGAGAAACCTTGAGGTGAGTCCTCTTATAATCTGACTAATTACCTACAAATTCATCAGTAGAGTTTTTAGATGTGACAGGTACAGAAATTCTCTTGATAAATTGCCCATTGTCTTTAACTCAGTTCACTACAGACCCTTCTGTGGTTTTAGACAGGTTCCTGCATGGTGGGACATGTCCCTTTACTCTTGATTTTGCTTTTATTCTGCTGTATAACATGTGAAGGGCAGATGGGACATTGCCACAGAGGTCCTAAGGAAACGCTCACAGTACGTGTAATCCAGTGATGGTGGCTCTGAGTGGGGTGTGTGGTGGTGGATCAGGAGGTTTGTGCCCAGCCTTCAAGGGTTGAAATTGGGTTTGGAAGCACAGGAATTACACAGGAAGTCTTTGGGGAGTGTGAGTAACTAAACAGACTGCTACAGAGTTGCTCTGTTATGATTTAGACAGACGTG